CAGGTGAGACACACATGTTAGTCAAATGGTTGTTTGCCAAAACTCATCAGACCATGTATCTAGTACCTACTGTAACTTTTTAGATACCATTTGTTACTTTTCAAATTCTGGTGTTTGGCTTGATTGTCAGCACAGAGAGAGAGAGAGGAACAGAGATGGAACAAGAGCAGGTGAGACACACATGTTAGTCAAATGGTTGTTTAACAAAAGTATCACCGTATCATAGGTCCTCATGTATCTCGTACCTAGTGTTTCTTTTTAGGTTTGTTATTTTTCAAATTCTATATTTATTAAGTTTTGCAGGCTTGTTTGCACAACAAGGCCAAATAATTATATAAACTTTTCTCAATCTAAATAGTGGACTTTGGTAGAATTAAAAAATAAGTGTAGTGCAGGTCTATGATGATATTTAGTGCTACTATCATCTAGTTTTGATTCTGATTCTTTCAGTCATTTCTAACCCCCCCACCCCCAAATTCCACATGCGTACTACCCATTAGGGCTAAGCCCCGGGTGTATCAAATGTCTGCCTCCGCCTCTGGCTGATACAATCATTTTGAAGGAAATAAGTAATGCACGCAACTGCCGTGGCCTGTGTAAACGTTCAATGTGGAATACTCCATTGGTGAAGAAATAGCATATTAAAGCGCATTCAGAGTTTGCTGAACCACACTTTGACAACCCTGCGCGCAGCTGCTTAAAGCTGTAGCGTCCAGATTACTTACGTAGTCAGCTACTTCCATGCAACTGATATAAGATGCGGTAAGCTGAACACAGCTTCAACCGTCTGTTTGTTGAAAAATAGTAAGGGACCGCATTTTCTTGTTAGTAACTGTAATGGCGTTGTAACGATAGGAGTAGTAATTAGTTAGATTACCCGTTACTGAAAAAAGTAACAGCGTTACTGATGGCAACTAACACCGTTATTCCCATCACTGCTTATAATGTGTGATATATTTTAAATTCTTTCAAGTGGAAAAAGTGCTGCAGCTAGTACTAAGTGCATATTCAAATACAAAGACAAATGCAGTCAAAACCTCTAACACAGTCCTGAGGAGTGCCATCAGATCTCAGTTCCCTGTTAAAAAGAGAACTGCTTGTGTCAATATATTTTCACACAGTTCAGAGCTACTACACACAACTACAGAGACTCTCGCAAAGCACTGATCACCTCAGAGACTTAAAGACCCAAATAAACCTCCAATACAGATAAAAATCATGGATGCAGTCTATGCGAGTACGGATGAAGTATTAGCTTGTCGCAGAAAGTCTAAAAGGGAGCATCAAACTGTGGAAGACATTTATGTGAATCATGAAGTGATCCAAACCGTACAACGTAAAACAACTGGACCTTCACCCCCAGGTAAAAACCACAAACCTATCTATAGATATTACAATTACGTGTTGCTAAAGTTTTGTGCACAAACAAATCTAAAAATAAAACTGAAAATTCTATACAAACTGTCTGAAGAAAAAAGACTTAATTCAGGAAAAAGTAATCTAGAGTCTGGCTTGCTGTAGTGTTACTGTAGTTTTGGATTTTTTGCTGGGTGTTAATTTTGATCGAGATATACAGTTTTGTTTTGTTTTTATCTGGGTTTACACTCAGCTGTTTTCCAGAATGTGTGGGACGACACAACGATAGCATAAAATGAAACAATAGACGTTTTTATATCGTCATCTGATATATATCGTTATATCAAACAGCCCTATGAGGATATAAACATATTTTATTATTAGACATATAACAAATATTTACTTCTACCTGTAGGTTCTGAAGATGTAAAGAAGAGTTACTGGAGAGCTGCTGTGATTCTTCTGGGTCTGCTGTGTCTTTTCCTCCTGACTGGACTCATAGCTGTGGTTTTTCTATGTGAGTACAACAGAAATGTAATTAGCATGCTAAAATCCTCACAGGTGATGTATTTATTTTATGATGATGTGTCCAACAGTCACCCAAGGCAAATCTCAGTGGAAAATGGAGACAGTGATACTACACAAGCTTGCTGACAACGTGACCAGCGAGAGAAACCAGTTACAGACCAGTTTCAACAATCTGGTTAAAGAGAGAGACCAGCTCCAGAAAAGATTGGAAGACATGACCACAAGCAGAGACAATCTTCAGAGAAAGCTTCAATGTAATTATATCTTAATGCTTGATGGTAAATGGCATGTATTTGTATGGCACTTTACTAGTCCCTAAGGACCCCAAAGCGCTTTACACATTCAGTCATCCACCCATTCACACACTGGTGATGGCAAGCTACATTGTAGTCACAGCCACCCTGGGGCGCACTGACAGAGGCGAGGCTGCCGGATACTGGCGCCACTGGTCCCTCTGACCACCACCAGTAGGTAACGGGTGAAGTGTCTTGCCCAAGGACACATTGACTGAGACTGTCGGAGCCGGGGCTTGAACCAGCAACCTTCCGATTACAAGACAAACTGCCAACTCTTGAGCCGCGATCGTGCATTTGTCTCTAACAACATTTTTGTCTCTCTAACACTTTAACAAATGTAGCTTTTTAAAAAGCATGGTGAGGCAGGAATCCTGGGTTTGTGTGGTGTGTGGAGTTTGCATGTTCTCCCTATGTTTGCATGGTTTCACTCATTCTCTAGTGGGTTATGATCATTCAAAATTCCCCATAAGTGTAAATGTAGTTGAAAATGGTTGTCTGTCTCTGTGTTAGCCCTGTGTCAGACTGCCAATCTGCCTCTGAACACATGCCAACCCCCCCGCGGCCGAGGTAAGGATAAGTGCTATAGAATGGATGGACAGATCTTGAGAAAGGCCTTTGAAAAGTAAAGTTGTAAATGTAATGTCAATTTGAACTAAATCTAATGTGAGTGAAAATATGAACATTCTATATGTTCACATTTAGACAGTTTCTAATAGCTTGTTGATTGTTAAAACCTGCATAGACAAAAAAAAAAGATGTTTAACTGACTTCTTAGCTCCAATTATATCTGCAGCCTTCTTCAGTTCTCACACAGCTGAATATAGATGTGGTGATGCTTGTAACACCATCAAGACTTCAAAACAAGAAGAGGACAAAAGAGAAAAGATCATTTCTCTCTAACTTCTCTCTAACTCTAAGTGGTGGCTTTCAGTGACAATTGCTGACTCGAACAACATTATTAGAGACAAATTATTAGATGTGAAAGCACTCCCTCTGAGGCAACACAACACAAAATTGTAAAATGTTTAACATATACAGCAGATACAGTTTCAGGGAATTTAGATCTAGATTTTACATAAGACTTGATAAATTGTGCTTAGTCATGTGTATATTTACTGAAGTGCTTTTAATTCTATGTATGCTACCTATCACAAAGCAAGCACAAATTATTATTCTGTTTTTCTTAAACAGATTGCCAAGAAACATGGGTGGCCTTCAGTGATAGTTTGTACCAAATTTCTTCAGAGCAGAAATCCTGGGAAGAAAGTAGACGAGACTGCCTTAAAAAAGGTTCAGACCTGATGATCATCAACAGCCGAGAAGAACAGGTTTGTGTGTGTGCAAACATAGATGTGTGCAGAAGAAAGAATGATGATACATCACTTTAAGTTCTGAATGTGTACATTTAATTTTTCTCTTTCTAAATAAAGAACTTTGTGAACAAGTTTAAGAAGCATTTGTGGATTGGACTGACTGACTCAGAGACAGAGGGGACATGGAGATGGGTGGATGGGACTCAAATGTCTTCAACAAGGTTGAAATAAAAATTTTATCTCTTTCTTGTCCATAAAGTCTGTTTATGTCATCAAGTACATTAACAAAATTATTTGGTTAATATCTTGTTACTAAAAACCAAAGACTGACTAACCTGTTAGTTTAACTCTTATAATTTTATCTGTATTTCAGCTACTGGAATAGTGGGGAACCAAATGGTGGCAGAAATGAAAACTGTGGAGAGATAAAAACTTACAACTCAGAAAACAGCTGGAACGATGAATCATGTTCCAATGCAAAATTCTGGATATGTGAGAAGAGAGTTTCTCCATAATTTAACATCCACGCCCAACAAATACTGCAGAACACAGAGCCATGAGATCAACTTCTGAAATGAAGCTGAACAGAAAGCAGTGGACACTTACAGCGAGTAAAATAAGTCACCAATTTTCTGAGTAAATATATTTCTAAAGGTATAATTAACATAAAATTCTTGCCATGTCAGTAACAATCCATCCAGTCCATACAAGTCATTATTACAAGCATGTATAATAATGAAAAATGACACGGAAAAAGTATTGAACACATGAAAAAGGTGCAAAAAGGCATGGAGAGCTGTGACACCAGCTGAACTGTATTAGTAATAAGAAAGCAATTCTGTCACTTAGGCAAATTACTATCAGCTGGTTCAGTCTCAACTGATGGGCTATAAAAAGCTGTGTCATTACTGAGGTTTTGCTTAACAAACATCTCAGGATGGTTATTGTATTGTATTGTATCTTTATTTGTTTCAGACATATAAAACAAAAAACAATATATACACACTACATATATTTTCATTTACAGATACGAATATATATGTAGATATACACACACACACGTATGTGTTCAGATAAACAAAAAATATATAATGAAATAAAACAAAATCGTCTGACATAATGTAACAATGTTTGGTCTGAAAAGGAGTAGGAAGAAGTATGAACATACTTATTAATTCCTACCCCTGCTCAACATCTTATTGATCCCACATAATTCACCTAATTCCCATCATCACATACTCCACACGATACACGAGGAGAACCTATATAAACTTGGCTACCGTGATTGATATAATTTGGATATAATTTGATATTTTTATACATACAATGGGTGATCATCTTTATCGGTATCATATTCTTCCAAAATCAGTTTTCGAAGTATTTTCATGAACTTACTAATTCCTGAGCATTGCTGTAGATCTATAGTAAAACTATTCCACAGTTTTACCCCATAAATAGTGACACAAAAGGTTTTAACCTTTGACCGTGCTTTAAGAATCCTTAGATTCAATTTCCCCCTCAATTCATAGTCTCCTTCTCTGTCATAGAACATCCTCTGTATATTTCCTGGTAACATATTGTATCTGGCCTTGTACATAATTTTTGCAGTTTTATATTTTATAAGATCCATAAACTTCAGTATTTTTAATTTCAAAAACATGATGTTAGTATGGTCTCTAAATCCTGCTTTATTAATCATCCTGATTGCTTTTTTTTTAATTTTACATATTGGTTGAAGTGCAGTTTTATATGTGTTTCCCCAAATTTCCACACAGTATTCCAAATATGGCAATATAAGTGAACAATAAAGTACCCGGAGTGATTTGGAAGGCAAAAAATATTTAACTTTACTCAGTACGGAGATGCTTCTTGACAGTTTGGCTTGTATATGCTTTATGTGAGGTTTCCAATGTGGTCTCTTGAGACTGTTGCAACACATATTGATAACAGAAGAATTTCTAAACTACTGAAGGTTCCAGTGAGCACTGTTGGGGTAAAAAAAGAAGTTGAAAGAACATCATTATACCATAAATCGATCAAGACCTGACGATCCCAAAAAGATTTTAGAAAGAGAAGTGAAAACGATTATTAAAAGAGATGTTCAAGGCCAAGGACCCCTTGCAGAAAGCTACAGAAATTAGCTGATACATTCATTTCAAAGGAAATAAGTAAAGCACACAACTGTCATGGCCTGTGTAAACGTTCAATGTGGAATACTCCATTGGTGAAGAAATAGCATATTAAAGCGCATTCAGAGTTTGCTGAACCACACTTTGACAACCCTGTGAAATACTGTTAGAATATAGTCTGGCCAGATGAGACTAATACATAGCATGTTTGAAGGTCAAAAGTCATATCACCCAATAAACACCACACAAATAATGAAGTTTGGAGGTGGGTTCATCATAATGTTGGGTTATTTTATTTTTCAACATTCAGCACTGGCATCTTTCATATAATTGAAAGGAGGATGAATGTAAAAATGTACTGTCGCGAAATCGATCAATGTAGAGCAGTGTCACAACCCACGGAGGCCAGAAGTGCTCAAACGTAGAGTTGGATGTCTCGAGACCGGTCTTGGTCTCGAGACCGGTCTCGAGACCACTTTTACGTGGTCTTGGTCTCGTCTTGGTCTCGACGGACTTTTGTCTTGGTCTCGGTCTTGGTCTCGACGGACTTTTGTCTTGGTCTCGGTCTTGGTCTCGCTGTTTCGGTCTTGCGTTCTCAAATCGACATAGTGTTCGGGAGATTTGGAGTCAACCATCAGCGGAGTGGGGGTGGGGGCTTACTGGGCTTAAGCCCAAAAACAACACACGAAGCACAGAGCGCACCGTCGTAAATTCCCCCTAATTTTGGTATGATCCGAGCTCAGGCACTAGGCGACTGAGCGCAGCACCCATGTGAGCGAGGGGGGAGAAGCTGCTGCCTGCGAATTTGCTGCAGACAGAGGAGAGCTTAAGTTTGACCAGGTACCAAAGCAAATCATTCGTACTGAACTAATAATGTAAATATGACGGTGTATCACAAAAGATTGATATCAAACTGATCACTTGGTTGCGTTACTTGCTCTTCGAGTGAATCAACAAATGGATAAATAAAAAGCCGAACAGCAATGCTGATTTTTTAGTCTTAGCTTACATTTCATATTTTCAGTTGTTACCCTCCACGGCTAAACAAACTCTCTAAATCGGTTTCAGTTGTGTACTGATGAACACAACAATGGACATAAGGAGCTTCTTTCAAAGAAAAAACTCAGGTAGATGTTATTTTATATATTATGCTTTGGATGTTGTTCAGTATATCTATGCAAAACAAGAGGAATTTCAATACACAGCAGTATATTCACAGTTGAAACCAGATATTTACATACACTTTATGGAGAAAACATAAAAACTTTTTTTTACTGTTAAACATCAATTTAGAGTAAACTTTTGTTTTAGATAAATAAATGTTGAAATATCTTTTGAATTAGTTAAATGTCAGAATAAAAAGAGGGAGCTGTCTATTTTAATCACTTTCATCAAATTTAGGAGTACATATACACTAAGTTTATTGTTAATTAATAAGAAAACTCCAGACGATTCCATTCTGAGCTAAAGAAGCTTCTGATAGGTTAGTAGAGTCCATGTGATTTGATGTTACAATTAAAAAAGTGTTTGTGTTTTTATCTGAAGAGTACATAAATATCTGGTTTCAACTGTATATTTGATGATGTTGGTGTTTGGCTTGATTGTCAGCACAAAGAGGGAGAGAGAGGAGCAGAGAGGGAGAGAGAGAATGACGACAGAACAGAGATGGAACAAGAGCAGGTGAGACACACATGTTAGTCAAATGGTTGTTTGCCAAAACTCATCAGAACATGTATCTAGTACCTAGTGTTTCTTTTTAGATACCATTTGTTACTTTTCAAATTCTATATTTATTAAGTTATGCAGGCTTGTTTGCACAACGAGGCTAAATAATTATATAAACTTTTCTCAATCTAAATATTGTACTTTGGTAGAATTAAAAAATAAGTGTAGTGCAGGTCTATGATGATTTTTAGTGCTACTATCATCTAGTTCTGATTCTGGTTCTGTCTTGGTTACTGTTGTAGTCCTGTTTTAATTCCAGATCAGTTTTGGGTCTGGTTGAATTGGGGTTTAGTCCCTGTGTCTTGATACAGGCCCGACTTTGTTCTGCCTTGCTGCTTAATTAAAAAACTAGTTTAAGGTGTCCTGAATATGTATATAGAATAGCATCTGGCTGCAGTTTAAAGACTTTTTTTGTCTCGGTCTTGGTC